GGCCCCAGCCGCTCCACGGCATGTGGGATCTTCCCAGACCGGGGCACGAACCCGTATCCCCTGCATCGGCAGGAGGACTCTCAACGACTGCGCCACCAGGGAAGCCCTGCAGGCATCTTTTTGACTGCCCTCTCCGACCCCTCTCCCCAGCCTCTTCCTCCCAGGGACCTCCCTGTGCTCAAGGTCACATGGCCCAGGGGCCAGAGGGCTCCCCCATTTGGATGGTTCCCAACATGGGGGACAGGAGGGTAGGAGCTTAACACAAGGGCCAGGTAAGTAAACCTGCTTGGCAGCCAGGAGGTAGAATCTCAGAAAGGGAAGAGCTGGTGGAACTGACCTGGACAGACAGCCGACGAGTCACTGTGAGGTTACGTTGTCTTTTCTGACCCCTTGTTCTGAGGCTGGACTGACCTTGCTGCCATGAGATTCCTTTTCGCCTCCATCTTGTGCTTTCCTACTGCAGTGATCCCTGTGCAGGGCCCTTAGTCTGGCTCGGGGGTTGGCCGACTACCTGCTGGTCTGTTCTTGTAAATAAAGTTTTATTGGAACTCAGCCAGGCTCACTTACTTATGCATTGTCGGTGGCTGCTCTCGTGCTACAGGCAGAGTTGCGTAGTTGCACAGAGACTGTTGGGCCCACAGAGCCTAAAACATTTACTAGCTAGCCCTTGACAGAGAGAGTTTACTGGTCGTGGTCCAGCTGAAGTAGGAGTTATATGTGTGCACAGGCCCAGGTTTACTGGCCCATGAGCCCCTCTCTCGCTCTCTTCCCTTCTCGTCCCCCCCCCACCCCTTCAACCCTCCCCCCACAACCTCTGACTTGTCCCCAACCTACTTGTTGTGGTCCTTCTGCGTTCCCACCCATTTCTCTCCAAGTATTTTAAATTAATGTGTTAGCAGGACTTCTCCCCACCACCTTCCCTTCGCACACAGCCCACCTGCCCCGGGCCTCCTCTCCCCCGACCCCCAGCCTCCCCGTGACTCTTCCCACCTGTTCCCATGGGTCGTGGGTAGAGTGGGATCTTCAGTGCCGTGAGATTCTGGGAGAGAGGTCCTTCCTGCTGTGAGGCCAGAGCCAGCCGACAGGACGGCGACGGACCGCTTCACTCCAGGAAGCGGTGAAATGAACTCTCCTCAGATATTAATCCCCTCCTTGTCCTCCGAGACAGCTGACCTGTGTCCCTATGGGGTCCTGCACAGAGAGGTTGCTGGGCACCAGCCAGAGGGGGTATCCAGACAGAGATGGGTGTGGGTGCTTCTGACTTTGAGATCTGCCTTGGACCAGCTTTCCCCCAGCTCAGAAAGACACTGTTGGGGAGGCGTGGAAGAGGGGGGTCAGGGAAGGCCAAGCAGCCAGTCTCTGCAGTTACCAGGACCGCGTTTCCACACCAAAACCCAGGCTGTCTGCATCCTGGTAATCAGGCCCCAGAGCCATGGGTGCTCACTCAGCAGGGCCCTGGGGGGAGTCCTGGAGGTTTCGATGGCTCTTGAGAGTTGATGGGACTGAAAGCTTGAAACTGGGATTGTCCTGGGAGTTCTAGGTCGTAAGGTCACCATATCCACAGAACTTTCCAGAACCAGGGTGGTCTCCCGGCCGCCGAAGGACCCCTCAGCTCTGTGCAGCTTTGCAAACATCTGACACCGGGGGTCCCAGTGCCCATGAGGGAGCCTCTTGTTCCACACCACAAAGGGGAGGGCGAGAAGGGTGACCTGCCCACGGAGGTAAGGAGGTCCGGGCCAAGGGCTCCCACTCGGGTGTCTACCGAGAGCCAGTCTCCAGGGGCCCTGGCCACCCTGAGGACGGCGTCTCACGGGGTCTCTTCCCAGCTGAGAGGAAGGCGTCTCCAGGGCAGCCAGAGACCAGACCGGCGTCCGGCCCCGCGCAGGTCCCTCCCCTCCTCCCGGCCCTGCTGGCGCCTGGGCGCCCGACAGGGAGGCCAGCGGTCCCAGGTTCCCAGATTTCCCGCAGCAGGTCCCTGCCCTCGTCCCCCGGCAGGCGCTTTGTCTTCTGCCACAGTGGGACAGCAACACGCCCGCTGCAGCCCCTACACTGGGCTCCTTTGTGTTCTCCTTGACCCAGGCACCATCGTGCTCCTCGGAACAAGTGGCCCTGGGATGCTTCTCCAGCAGCCAGGCGCCGATGGCCTCTCGCCCAGCTCCTCTGTATCCTCGTCTGGTCGTGTTTATGTAGCCAGGAGCCTGCCTGCTCCCTTGTCTGGTCGGTCCTGGGAGCCCATCCCCCGCAAACCAGGCAGCCAAGAGTCCCTTCTGCCGGCCTGGGGCGGGGGTGGGGATCTGATGGCGGGAACACCTTCTCTCTTGAGTGAGGCTCGGGAAACCCAGGTAGCTCGCGATTGTCCATTCTCCAAGGCGGACACCGGGGACAGGCGTGGCAGGGATGGCCGGAGTCCTGCCCATCGCACGTTTCAGCCCCTCCCCCTGGTGCTGCCAAGACCAGGGACGGATGCACTGAGATCTCTCCTCCAACCCAAGGCTCCGATTTCCCTTAAAGGAGCCAAGAGGGCTTCCCTGGTGGCACAGTGGTTGAGAGTCCGCCTGCCGATGCAGGGGACATGGGTTCGTGCCCCGGTCCGGGAAGATCCCACGTGCCGCGGAGCGGCTGGGCCCGTGAGCCATGGCCGCTGAGCCTGCGCGTCCGGAGCCTGTGCTCCGCGACGGGAGAGGCCACAGCAGTGAGAGGCCCGCGTACCGCAAAAAAAAAAGGAGCCAAGGGATGGTGGAGCCAGGGTGGGAGTGAGGCATCTTGGAGTCGGACTTCCTCCCCAGATGGGCTGTGGGGACCCGAGGAGAAGTTGAAGACTGTGGGCGGGAAGGGGTGGCCGTCTACGAGTTGGTCCAGAGCTACCGGGGCTGAGACCCTCTGCGCCCTCCCGACTCACGGCCCACTGGGGGGTTGCTGCGGCCTCAGGGACCGCTGACCAGGAGCTTTATGCGCACTGGGGTTCCCTTCCCTGGTGTGAACCGGCGGTACGTCTTCAGAGGCAGCTGTGCCGGAAGAGAGAGGGACCGGGAGGTGGCATCTCAAACAGCTTCTGCTGCCGCTCAGGGACTCACCTCCCTTCCAAACAGTGGGCGCAGGGAGTAAGCGTCCCCTTGCTTCGACCAGGAGAGATGCCCACTGCGCTGGGCTGATTTCGGCATCAGGCCACCTTGGCCTTCTGCCTTGAGAAACCGTGATGAGGTATTTGGTGAGCCTCGGGCTGGGCACCTGACACAGTTACGAGTGGTGCCCACCCCAAGTCCGCCTGTCCACGCAGACCGTCAGGTGGACAGCCTGCCTCCTTTATGCCAACCTAGCTGCGGGGACAGAAGGGAATTTCACTGTGTGCCGAGGCTCTGGCCTGCCCTGAATCTGGTGTGATAGGAGCCCGGAAGGCAGACTGCTGGGACGTGCCGGCGTGACACGAACCGAGTCAGTTCCTCCCCTTCTCTCCGCATCTCCTGCTCACTTGGCCTCCTGTTTCTCCTTCCATCCACTAGGCAGTACCAGATGCTCCACACCGGGCAGAGGCCGCCTAGCAAACTCCCTTAGGAGTGCCGTCCAGGCCTGATTGGAAAGCTGGAGAAGAGGCCCCGTGATTGATGAGTTTGCCTTGGGCGTTGGTGACCAGGTGAAACGGGAGGCCGACATGGGTCAGAAGGTCACTGGAGGTATCAAGACGGTGGACATGAGGGACCCCACGTACCGGCCCTTGAAGCAGGAGCTCCAGGGTCTGGACTACTGCAAGCCCACCCGCCTGGACCTGCTGCTGGACATGCCCCCCGTGTCCTACGACGTCCAGCTGCTCCACTCCTGGAACAACAATGACCGCTCGCTCAACGTCTTTGTGAAGGAGGACGACAAGTTGATCTTTCACCGGCATCCGGTGGCCCAGAGCACAGACGCCATCAGGGGCAAAGTCGGGTACACGCGCGGGCTGCACGTGTGGCAGATCACGTGGGCCATGAGGCAGCGCGGCACCCATGCCGTGGTGGGGGTGGCGACGGCAGACGCTCCCCTGCACTCCGTGGGGTACACGACACTCGTGGGGAATAACCACGAGTCCTGGGGCTGGGACTTGGGGCGCAACCGGCTCTACCATGATGGCAAAAACCAGCCGAGCAAAACATACCCAGCCTTTCTGGAGCCGGACGAGACGTTCATTGTCCCTGACTCCTTCCTAGTGGCCCTGGATATGGACGACGGGACCCTGAGCTTCATTGTGGATGGACAGTACATGGGAGTAGCTTTTCGGGGACTCAAGGGCAAAAAACTTTATCCCGTAGTGAGTGCCGTCTGGGGCCACTGTGAGATCCGCATGCGCTACTTGAATGGACTTGACCGTAAGTGTCCTCTGCTCTGTCTGAGGTGGCAGTGTCCCTGGACTCCCTGTGTCCCCTTTGGTCCTCACTGGGCCACTGGCCACAGCTAGAAGTTTACAGTTGTTGAAATTTAAATGTCTTTAAGTAGACATCCCAGCATTCAGATCCTCAGAGGCGACTCTTGCCTACCTCTGGTTAAGTGAGGATTTCTAGCCAGAGTCTGCAGATTACGTGGCAGCACCTTGTGGATGAATGGATGGATTGGTGGATACGTGGGTGGGTGGGTGGATGGATGGATGGATGGATGGATAGGTGGGTGGATGGGTGGATGGATGGATGGATGAGTGGATGAATGACTAAAGGAGTGAATGGATGGATGGGTGGATGGATGGGTGGATGGATGGGTGGGTGGATGGGTGGATGGGTGGGTGGATGGATGGGTGGGTGGATGGATGGATGGATGGGTGGATGGATGGATGGATGGATGGATGGATGGGTGGATGGATGGGTGGAAGGATGACTAAAGGAGTGAATGGATGGGTGGGTGGATGGATAGAAGGGTGGATGGATGGATGGATGGGTGGATGGATGGTCTTTGATAAACATGGTTTGTTTCTGGTTGACCTGCCTCCAGGTTTGATCTGCAGTTGACCACATTCTAGCACAGTAACCAGCATATTATTGAGCTGGGTTTTGCAGCTTTGGGGGTACTAGGGCCTCTCACATAAATGATAGCCAACGGCCTCTCATTCATTAGACAGGTTTAGGGTCTTTCCTGGTGCTGGAACCTTCTGAGTGGGCTCCTTTGGGACACAGTCCCCCGCAGGGGTTTTGTTCAGTTATGATGTCAGGAGGTCTTTGGAGAGGAGGACATGGATTAGAAACAGGCTGAATCAGCTGCAGTTTCCACCTGTCCCTTTGGAAAAGGGAGTGGCCTTTCCCAGACCACGTGTGAAAATAGCCTACCTGTGGCAGCACTGCCCTGGTTTGGGAAGCGGAGGGCTCTGTGGCTTTGTGGCTGGGAGCCCGTGGTGGCAGGAGGCCCCAGCATTCCAGAACTGTCCATACCCATGCTCAACCCTCACTCCTTCATGAGTCCCTTCTACCGTCTGCAGATCTCTCCTTGGAAAGGGGGTGGGCTGGAAAGCTTTGTCCATCCATGCACTGACCTCTTTAAGGGGCAGATATGGCCTGGCACCTGAGATCTAACCCCACCTGCAGGCCAGGTGAGCCATGAAGGAGGCCGAGGGTCAGGAGCACAAATGCTTCCTCTGGTCTTGCAGCCTCCAAACCTTCAGGTTCCCCCACTCTTCCTCCTCCCCACTTTAGTCTTTGGAAGATACCAGAAAATATCCAGGGCCATCAGTCAGAGCGAACTCTTAAAATGTTTCTCTTTGGAGGCCTCCGCCACCCCTCTTTCCC